AAAATAGGAGCTTTTTCACTCTAGAATAAAACGTAGGAGGGCCAAATTCTAAAAAAAGAGCTAGGGTAAATATTGGTCAATTAGGAACTTTCTTACCCTAAAATGAAACATCAAAGGTCAAAATGCTAAAAAAAAAAGAATAGAGGTAAAAGTAATTTTTAAGAAAACATTGAGAGACTAATTTAACATTATACCTTAAAAAATCCAGAAAAGAAAATCCAATCAATTTCAAGGGAAGGAGAGGAGAAGAGAGGGGAAAGGCAAAGGTTATTGACGAGGTGTTGTAGGTTGAATAGGTTGTATGAAAAAGGGTATGGGTGTACCTGACAATTGAATTTAGTTATTGTGTGTGATGGAAGCACCGAGTAAAGTTTAAGGCATTGCCCCCATTTCTCTTTGCATCCTTTATTGCCATTTGAGAAATTGTTTTTCTTCAAACAGAAAAATGTCTGTCCCTTATAATGTAACAACAAATTTAGCATCAACTCATTAATTGTAATTTTTTATTAATGCGGTCGGATAGGCCATAGGTTAAAATTGAATCAATAATTTATGGTTTATCACAAGTTAGAATAGTTCATTAGTAACTTCAACCTCGAGTTTCATTTTAAATTTTTTTAAGTATTTTAGTCTTAACATTTTATTTAGGTTAAATTAGCAATAGTTAGATAAAAATCGTTAATTGACTAGCGTTTAAAGCTTGTGTTGACGTGATAAGTCTTATATGTACATAAGTGATAACATGACACTGTCGCTATACATAAGTGATGATGTGATACATGTCATGTTCAAAGTGATGATGTGATACACGTCATGTGTCTAAAATGACGAAATGATACATATCACATGTTTAAAGTGATTATGTGAAATATGTCAGTCTAAAATGACGATATGATACATATCACATGTCTAAAGTGATTGTGAAATATGTCACATGTACATAAGTGATGATGTGATACATATCACGTGTCTAAAGTGATATATAGTACATGTCACGTATCTAAAGTAATAAATAATACATGTCACGTATCTAAAGTAATAAATAATACATCAATATTCTTTTAAACACATAAGACTTGTCACTAGGAACACGCGTGGATTTATGTCAGAAGGTGTGAACCTAAGAAATTATATTAAAAATGTTGGGATGCAAAATTATAAAACCTCAAGAGTTACGAAATTAGATAATCCATATAAATATAAGGAAAATACTTAAAATATAAGAGGTTTTAAAATTTCTAAGTGGTGCAATCGCACCCGCTCAATCCATCATGCTTGTCACATTATCAACAAGCATTAAACATGTCAATAATTTTTTAGTTAATCATGAGCCATATTGACCCATAATAAAATGTTTCAAAAAGAAAATAAAGTTAAATGAATTATTCAATCATATGTTAAATATGATTTTTGGTTATATATATTATGGGCAAGTATTGTGTATTATATTTGGGAGGTTCTGTTGTGAGACGAACTAATATACGACTAAAAAACGACGTGACAGATTAAATCTTATTAAATTTCAAATCGAGTTATTTCTTTACCGTATATTAGTCCGTCTTTTCTGGGACAAACCCTTACAAAATAGGGTAGTAGTAACTAAGAAAAGTTGAAATTCCTTATTGGAGTGGGACCAAACCCCAACCTAACCATGTAATAAAAAAGAGGAAGAATAACATAAGAGTCGGCCCACCATCCCCCCAAAACTTTTCCTTCCTTTCGCTCTCAATCCCATACCTTCCCTCTAACTTATTTTCTACGCGTTTATAACCGATTGAGTCATAGCTCCAGTAACAAGATTGTTACATACATTGTCATCAAAGATCAACGCTCTGTTTACTTGTATTACTAAGTACTAGTATTGTACTATGTAGAAAGCACATATGATTCTGTTTCAAAGCTCGCCCTTTTGTTTTCTCTCTTCACATTTCCCTTTCTCTTTTACTCTATTTCCCCCTGGTCTTCTACTGTTCTTGAGGTGCAGCATGATGGTTGATTGCAGGAGGCAACTGGTTCCACTACTTCTCCTCTGGCTCTTGTTAATGCTTACGTTCATGGTTAGCCACTGTCATGGTTCAAGAACCACGGCCACCAACAACAACGTTTTCAAAATAAACCCGAAATCTCCTTACGTAGGCCACTTCGTCGGGTTCTTGCCTCGACATCTCCCGATTCCATGTCCGGCCCTTCGAGGAAACACAATGACCTCGGCTTACAAAGCTGGAGATCACCATGATGATCGTAGGGAATTAGTATTCCTAAAGAATATTACTTCATCTTTTTCTCTTCTGGGTTCTTTGATTTCATTTTTCAGTTTTCTTACTGGGATTGAATAGTAGGAGTTGGTGACCTGCTCACTGATGTATATGGAGTTGTTAAGCTAAATCGTTTTTTTAAGGCTTTGGGTTTATCAAAAGGAAATAGTTGGTTTTATCTGAATTTTTGTTCTGATTGTGAATAAGATCATGTAGAGAGAGAAAATTAATAGCATGACAGAAAAAGGAGTTCTGATTACTGGATTGTTTTGGTTCATCTATTATCCTCTGTTTGAATAAGAAGAAATTGATATCAAAATATTCACATTTTACTCATTTTTTTTCTTATCAGGTTGATTTTCCACGAAACTCACTCAAAGTTTGACGTGCTAATACTCCGATCTCATCCGATGGTCATTAAACAATACTAATTTTGAGATATGTTGTTCATCTTCTCGAAATAATAATTCTTACCGTTCAAATTTTCGAACAAGCATCCTAAACTCCTCAAATTTGAAAAACTCCCTAAATCCTTAAAATGGTGATTTTTTTTTGTTTGTTTAACTTCATCAATTTTGGATGAGTTTAATGGAAAATCAATCTTAGGAGAAGAGAGAGAATAGAAATACAAACGTTTTGATATCGATTTTGTCGCGAAAGACGACCAGTGATGACTTATTACAAGAGACGATTGAAAAGTGCAATGTCAAAATTTTTAAAATTTAACGAAGAAAATGATACCCCTAAAATTTAGTCTAAAGTAACATTGTTTTAAGTATCAATAGGCACACTAAAATAGTGTTATTTGTTCCTTCGTTTGAATTTTAACGTGGTCTGGTGATAAAATTGTAGTCAAATTAAAATTATATGCTATAATTAGAACAATTAAAAATTAAATGATATAAATAATACATTATATAAAGTTCAATGGTTTCTAGTATAATTTATTCAAAATATTATTAATATCGCTTTTCGGTCGGAATTGGCATACTCATATCATATTCGTATGAGGTGGGTATAGTAATACAATCCAAGGAAAAAGCAACAAACAGGTCCAATTATTATAACACAAGGTCCCTTTTTAGTGTATTTCACATCATATTTGTCACAACAAATGCAAAGAACTCGATAGCTTCCATCGATTCTCCCATGGTGGGGTTGTTGATGGATCCAAAGCCATTTGGTCATCATTCAAAGGTTTCATTGGATTCTTCTCAGCCTTTGAGTTTTTCAAAATAACGTGGCATTGTTGCTTTTAAAATCAAAATCAAATTATCAATAATTAGTTGATCTATTTGAACGAGACACTAGATTCATTAAATAAGGTTAAGGTTTCGAATCTCGACGTTTACGAGTGGAACAAATTAGATTAAAAGGGTTATCCTCACTTCTATAGTACTCGATTCAAATTAATTGATTAATAAATTGGATACTAATAATTATAAAAAATCAAATCAAATTCAATATATGAATCACCTAGACCTAGATCTTGGGCCTATGAGAATAACAATGTGATTATTTAGAATAGATGTAAAACTAATGTGTTGAACTCAATGCGATTGTTTAGTCAACTGGGAACCCAGAGAGCTGCTTGCATTAATAACAAATACGATTCCCCTTTGAAATTATTGGGCGGCTGGATTTTAAAGGCAACATTAGGTGGTCGGTCAGAGGAAAAATCTTGATAATTCACATCGAATATATCGCTATTATGTAGCCAAAATCGTCGTATTTATTCAACACACATGTGATATTGTTGACTTCTTTCATCAACCCTATTTCTAAAATACATGGAAAGAAGAATCAAGTTAGGGTTCATGAAATAAGTCCAAGCAGAAACGTACAAGGTGCAAGGGGAGATGTCAAGCTCAGTGAGTGATTATTGAGATGCATGGTGGTGATAGAGAGTACTTGCATCTCCTATGTGGCTGTTAAGGTTGTGTTAGCATCATGCCCAAAAGCTTGTTTTCATGTGTTACGTCGCCTTCCTCCTATTCATATGACATGCAAATGTAAATTAAACAATAGGGTTGAACAATGAAATTGAAAAAAAAATAAAATATTTGATTCAAATTAAATTATGATGTTTAATTCGGTTTGAATTTTTTATTTTACGACTCGATTTTTATTCTGTTTAGGCATCTAATTTCACAATTCGATTCAATTTTTATTTTTTCATATAAAATTAATTTGTTTTAAATCAAACCCAATTATAAAAGAAAATAATAATGATTCAAATCATTTTTTTTAATTTTTTATAAAATAAATTTAAATAAATAAAATATTAAAATTAATAATATTATTTTTTATGAATTTAAACTTGTGTGTTTGCATTCAGTTTAATCTTAAAGTTTTTTTATTTTAAGTTTGAAAAAAATAATGCCAAAAAAATGCCCATAATTTGATTAAATAATACAATGATTCTTTTTTTTCTTTTCTTTTTGCTTAAAAAGGTTTTGATACCCAACATTTTATTTTGGTGCAAATGTCATTAGGTGAATAAAAACCTTTAGTTGATTAACAATCAATTAAGGACTGACGTGATAAGTCTTATGTGTCCAAAATAATGATGTAACTATACAATGTGTCCAAAGTGATGATGATGTAATATTATCATACATAAAGTGTTGATGTGATATTATCATATGTCTAAATGATGACATAACCCAAAAAAAAATACTTACAGGGATAGAAATGTATATAATGAAGCATAGGCCCAAATCCAGCAATAAAGCAAGTAAAGGCCCCATCAAGCATCAGCCGTTGAAAAGCGAAGAAGAAGAGGAAGGAACAATTCTCCCATTTCCCACAATTTCGTAGTACTCGCAGCCACAACACAGCCCAAGAAAGAAAAATGGCGTCGAACGCGGCGGTTCCGTTCTGGCGTGCAGCCGGCATGACCTATATCACCTACTCCAACATATGCGCCAACCTCGTGAGGAACTGCTTGAAGGAACCTTACAAGACTGAAGCCCTTACTCGTGAGAAAGTCCATTCTCCATCTCCAAGGGACCGATGCAAGCCTGAAAGCCCAGTATGTTTCCTTTCATTCTTCTTCATATCATCTCATATGGGTGTGCTCTTTTCATTCTGATTCATTTCTGTAATCCCGCTGTTTTTTTTATTGGATTCTTTATTATTGTTATTGAATTTACATCTAATGTTGTATATTTGAAGTCTGTTTAATCTCGCGCTTTTGATGTTAATTTTAGTAGCCAAAAGAAAATTAATAATAGAGAAAGATGCACGGGATTGAAGTTAAACTGAAACCCTAAATATTAAATTATGGGTGTTTGGTTGTTACTTTCTCTAATTGCTTCTTAATATCTGGTTGCAATAGAAGACCAATATTCAATAAAATATGATAATACCTCATTTGAATCCATAACTGCAGCTAGTTGGATTTTTCAGTACCCTTTTCTAACCTGATGCAATGTTTAGTTGGATGGGTTTTTGCAGCGTGCTAATTTATGCTTGCATCTGCCAAATTCTTTGTTTGCTGGGTAATTTTCCCTGATTAAAAAATAACAATTGCAGTGGAATGTAACTTAAATTCTTTAATATACTGCTCGATCACACAAAGCTCATATATTGTGGGTTTATTTGGCATAATTATCGGAAACAAGTTGATCAGACCAAATTACATCAGCTGTACTTTTGCTTGCATGAATCCTTAAGGACCTTAACCGTATCTGGTCAATGAATTGTCACTGGCTTCCAGTTTGATAGCTAAATATTTTATGAGCTGTTAGTTTCCGAATTCCCTTTAGTATAGGATGTTAAGTCATGAAGTTTATTTTGTGTGAATCGTCTGTCATTTCCACAGTTCAAATTGCTTTCAAGCTTTCTCATCACGTTGCAGCTGCAATATATACATAGGTTGAAGTAGGATTTATTATCTTCTGCATATCTCTCTAAACATATATATAGAATTCCTTATTTGCTGTATGATGTTGCAAAACTATAAAAATGAAAAAGGAATTTTCTTGTTTGATCAGATTACATCTCTCTTGTATTTAACCATATCTTCACTTGTCTTGGATAGTGGTATGTGTGATTTTAAGCTAATCGTATGATTCAAATGATTGGTCTCTCCTGCTGTACTTTTAGTCCCCTATCAGAATTGATATCATTATTTTCCATTAATGAGAAGTGTTCTGATGGCATATCTATTGGTTAATATCAGCTCTGCGCTCTGATTCCCCTGAAGAATGAGTTTCAAGTTTGGTCATCGAAGTGTCTAGACAGGAAGGATTTGAATCTAGTTTTGTTTGCAATCTGAAACCCTTCTGGAGCATGAGAAAGGTTTCAGTGTTCCAGATGATGTTGAACGTCGTAATAATAATGCACTTTGCGAATTGATTAACATTGACCCTTCACGGGTTATATGCATCTCAAGTATTTTAATGCACTTTGGGACTTGATTAATAATGCACTTGCTGCTTGATATGAACGAATGGCTGATATTACCATGTTCTTTATCAATCCTTGGAAGTAATACAGCTCATCATTGTTCACAGTGATCATAAAAGAATTTGCTTCCTAAAGTTTAACCTGCATCTAATGCACTGAACACAAAATTAAACCCAGTTTTCTATACCATAAATAATGAGCTTAAAACAATCTTCATATCTCAAACAATAAGCAGTAAAGCAACAGAAGTAGACCCGTTTGTGGTTTGTCACGGGCCTTAACCTGTGTTGTTGAGGTTGTCTCTTTCTTTTCGTAATCATCTTAAAAGGAAGGAAAGGATGTCTTAATAAATAGTAAAAGACATTGGAAGACTTTCAATTTTGAAGTTGGATCCTCTAAATAGAAATATAATCACTGTTCATTTTAAAAATTGAACACGGACAAATATTCATGAATTTAGTGTTCTCCATCAACTTTCGGTAATTTTGATTAACACAATAATAAATTTAATCCTTAATATATACATATTATGTCAGTTTAAACTAATTTTAATAAATGTAACATATTCTTCTTCATCTAATAGATATTGGAGATTAAATTTATAATATATTTTAAAATTAATATAATATATTAATATTGATACTAAATTTGCTATTATTTCAACTAAATTTATATATAATTGCTTAAAAAAACCGTTAATTGCAGGATTAATTTTCTTAATTGTTCATTTTCAAAATTAATCGCTCCTCTTGTTTTGTTACGGACTAGTTTATCTAATTTTAAATTGAGAGACCTCAGAAACGATTTTTACCCAAAGAAAGGATTTTTTATCCTGATCAGCTCAGTTATCCCCCAGTGCCTGACCTAGCTGCTCCACTCCGCCGCGGTCTTCCGTTGGTGTTCCCGGACCTCCCATCCCTTCCTTCCCCTTCGACCGGCCTGAACCTTTGGGTGGGCTATGCAGGACCAACAACAATAGCTGCACGGAGCCAGTTTTGCCTTCAAGTTTCCGACAGACCAGAAAATTGAATAAGGTAATTTTGAAACCCTAATTGGAGATTAATTTCTACTTGAGAGTTACATGCATCAGTCTGCTATTTTTTATTTTCTGTTTTGAATCCTACTGTTTGTTACTCTGTTTCGTCTCGCACTCTCTTTGTTTACTTTGTAGAAGAGTGTTTCATTGTTGCAGCTATGAAGGAAGAAGAAGTAAACCGATGCCAGATTCAAGAATGGTACCCAAAATTTAAATCAGTGGCGATTAGGACTTTGATTCATGAGCTTCCTGAATCTTTTGTCCAGTACCTGGTTGATGACTCGGGACCTTTCGTCCTTCCTGTTTCGATCTCAAACGAGGATGCCTTTCCGAATAGAATTCATAATCCAGATGAGGAAGAAGATTATCAAGTATCAGAAGTATACGGAGACGAAGCAGAACCCTCATCGCCACCTTCTTTCCCTGAACTTGAGTTAAAGATTAAGGAGTCAATTGAAGCCCTCGGGGGTGCAATCTTTCCCAAGTTGAATTGGAGTGCACCAAAGGACTCTGCATGGATAAGCACATCCGGGACTCTTCGGTGCACTACATTCACTGACATTGCTCTTTTGCTTCGCGCATCTGACTCCTTGATCCATGATCTATGTCATGCATATGATTCGTGCAGTGACAAAACCATTTCAAGACCCCCAAGATTCTTCCTTGCCCTCCGTAAATGGTACCCGTCTTTACGACCAGAAATGGAATTCCGTTGCTTTGTAAGGGGACAGAAGCTTGTTGGAATTTCGCAGCGGGAGGTCACTACATTTTATCCAGTTCTTTGTGAGAAGAAAAATTATCTTCAAGTGTTGATTGAAGAATTCTTTAATGTCAACGTGAGGCTGAAATTTGAATCAGATGATTACACGTTTGATGTTTATGTCACAGAGGATGAACGAGTAAAGGTGTTGGATTTCAATCCTTGGGGTGCTTTTACATTGCCGTTGCTGTTCACTTGGGACGAATTGGAACAGAATCCGGGGGAAGGAAATTATTTGAACTTGAGAATTGTGGAGAGCCAATGCGCTGTTCGGCCAGGTTTGAAGACGGCAGTTCCATATGATTACTTGGATGTCAGTGAAGGCAGTGGTTGGGACCAATTCCTGAGAAATGCTGATGATGAGCTGCGGAGGCAGGCCAAGTCTCCTGAAGCAGGAGCTTAAGAACTTGATTTCCGTTTCCGTTTTTCTTTTATGCCGGTCGATGTTGCAATTGTTATGACCAAGAGCTTCTTCTGCTTTGTTCTGTAATGCAGAACTTGTTTTAGGGAGAGAATTAATAACATAGAATTCAAGAACTTCCATTGTTGACGTCCATCATTTTAATTTTTTATGTTAGGACTGGTTGGAATTCAGGAATCTCTTAAAAGCTTACATTGTGGAGTGTCGACAGCCATTCAATCAATCAGATCCAAGTGTTGAGCTGATTCTAGAGTGATTCTTGTTCATGTTCAATATGTTCTTTTTTTCGGTGCTTTGTTTCTCATAAATTTTTTCAAAATATATATATATATTTTTAAAAAAATATGAAGATCTTTTGAAAAAGTAAAAAGTTTTTCTGACATTTGGATCATGTAAAGTATTTATAGATTAAACTATAATGGTAATTATTGTTAAGACGCTTTTACTTAGGTCACTAAAATAAAATAAATTTCAAACTGATTTAACGACAGTTGATGGTATACGTTCATATCATTTTTTCTTAATATCTTATTTAGCCTGATAGTAGGACGTTACACCCACTCGCTAAAGGTTTTAGGTTCAAATTCCCTTAGGTGGCGTATGGTTTGCTGTAATGTTTTGAGGGAATTGAAATCTGTGAAGGAATTGAAATCTGTAGGAATTGGAATCTGAAACCTGTTTGATTGGCAGGAAATTGAATTTGAATCCAATTCCTTATTTTGTTTGGTTCGCTGACATGTCAGATGAATTTGATTTCAGTAATGTAAAATGACAAAATTGCCCTTCTTATTTTTTTGCTTAATTTTAGTTTGTTTTATAACTTACATGTAGCAATATATTATAAAATTTAAAAAATATTAAATTTTCATTTTATTGATTGATTATTCATTTCAATAAATTATAAAAATCATACTAATAAACATCATAAGTTTAAATCGTCCCAATTAGGGATGGCTATGGGTCGGGTTTTTGGTCCACCTGACCCGACCCAAGAACAAGGGAACCTCCACCCGAGACCGACCCGACCCGACCAAAATAATGTTTCACCCGACCCGACCCGAAATAATAAAAAAATTATTTTTATTCAATAAAAACAATGACTTAATTGAATATATATACAGGGGTATTATTGTAATTATTCCTAATTATATATGGTAATATTATATATTCTTTCGGGTCGGGTCTGGTCGGGTATTTTTTATTTCAGTAATGTAAAATGACATAATTGTCTTTCTTATTTTTTTGCTTAATTTTAATTTGTTTTATAACTTACATGTAGCAATATATTATAAAATTTAAAAAATATTAAATTTTTATTTTATTGATTGATTATTCATTTCAATAAATTATAAAAATCATACTAATAAACATTATAAGTTAAAATCATCCCAATTAGGGATGGTCATGGGTAGGGTTTTTGGTCCACCCGACCCGAGAACAAGGGAACCTCCACCCGAGACCTGACCCGACCCAACCAAAATAAAGTTTCACCCGACCCGACCCGAAATAATAAAAAAATATTTTTATTCAATAAAAACAATGACTTAATTGAAAAAAATTATATATAGAGGGGTATTATTGTAATTATTCCTAAATATATAAGGTAATATTATATATTCTTTCGGGTCGGGTCGGGTATTTTCACCATAAACCCAAACCCGACCCGAATATCACACTTAAAAACCCGACCCGAACCCGAATATCACACTTAAAAAAAACCTAACCCGACCCCGATTTTTTTTTTTAAATTCAACCCGATCCCAAATTTTTAAAAAAAAATCCGACCTGAATACTAAAAGATTGGTGAGTTTAGTATGGTCAAATTTCACATTCCCTCCTCCAAATGATTTCAATTCCATCATGTTATGGATGAAATTTATTTTCCCTCCCTTAATGGATTTGGATTCCAATTCCCCCTTTGAAAACTTGAACCAAACATGAGAAAGTGGTGGAATTGAATTCCAATTCCCCCTAATTCCAAGGGGTTCCAGCAAACCAAACACCACCTTAGTCTCATGTGTTTTTCCTTGATCGATCACAACTTAATTTAAATATTAGATTTTGTAAAAAAAATATAACTTGTTTATTTAATTCAGTGGTTGAGCATTGCATATACTCCTCGATGATCCCCCAAAGTCATATTCATTTTTCCTTAATTTATAAATTAAAAATGTTGAAAGACAAACAAAACCAAACTCGATCACCTAAACGTTACAGACAAGGCCCTAGACCTGAGTGGACAGGCAATCGCATAGGAGCAGAGCACTGAGCAGACACATTGCACCTCGAATTCAAAAAAAGCTAAACATAGAGATATACGTTGCTAAACACATATATATATATATATATAGCCCATACATCTGTAGATCTACAAGATATAAATTACTTAGATTAGAGAGAGAGAAAAGTTGGGTTTTACAAGTTTTCCAGGCCAACAGATACTTCTCTTGTAGAATAGATATTATCTAAAACTATATCAAATATACATACGTATATATACCTTTATCTACAATAGAAGGGGAAAATGTCTTCAGCCGTATAGCAATCTCAGGAACCATAATTCTGTACATATGTGCAATATATACCAATATAGTAGAATTTCATAATTCTCATGTACCTTTGCTGATCCTGGAATGTTCAGCCGCAGAAGCAAAACTAGCAGATGTGTAAGCCTTACCCCCTTCACTAAGCAACAGATTTTTCATCACTTTGTAACCCCGAAGTTCCTCTAATGCATCAGCAGTTGTCTTTGATGCAACAAGCCTCGAAGATGCAGTACTCAAAGCAGCAGCAGGTTCAACGGTCACAGCCTCAGAGATCTGACTTTGCTTTTGGATGCTGTTGCTCCACATTTCTGGCCTTGAGGCTTCTGAAAAATTAAGGGAGACGTCCTGGCGAAGAGGAGGGGCTTTTTTCAGCATACGGACAAGAGCACCAACTGCAGCATCTGGGGATTTTCTATTCATGAACAACCCCGCTTCATTTGCATCAGATGGATGCATTCTTTTATCGTAAGACTCGGCTCTACAGAATATGCAAAAAGAACACCGTTTCAGTTAACAAAACAATTCAGAAAATTTTTGAAGCAGTACCAGAGGTAAAACAGGAAGGTCTAGCAGTTCCAGTAATATTTATCCGTGCCAATTCAGATCAAGTGTTGACAATCATGATAAACGGTATATGGTGTTTTCTCCAATTTCGGAAATCATAAATGATGGATTGTGGCTATGGAGATGAAAATTGCTACTCATTTTCTATTAAGCGCCAACTTCAGTTAAATGATCAAACGGATTTTCTCAAGGGATAATTCCAAACCAACAATAGCAGAAAAGAAAATTCCCCACACTCGAACTATCTTTAAAACGTTCAGACTTCTCCACCGGCGCTAATTTAGAGATTAAATAAATATAAGTGAAAAGAAGAGAAATTGTCATTTCAAGCTAACCTCAATAACAGGTTAGTCGGATAATGCAGAAAGGAAACTATAGAATGTTTTGGAAATAACCACATCCTGTCAATAGCGGGTGTTTCTTAATCACCGATCTCTTTCTTTTTACTCAACTTGATCATCTAAATTTAAATTAATTTAATTATTCACCAACTAACAATGAGAATAAGGGAGTTAATAAAGAAAATCCCATTCTTTTTACTCAATCGTCTGAAAACTAGAAAGCAAACCATACATGGTAACTCTACATATGGTAACTCTACATAGATGATTAACAGAAACCTATATTGATTACTGAACCAGATATTCCACTATGGTTACTACCCCGACTACATATTGAAATCTAAAATAACCACCTAGTTCTCTTTCTTAAAACAACAAAGACCACTTTATAAGGTAATTCTCTGTAGATGATAAAGAGATACTCATGCTAATTCCAGAACCAGATATTTCACTATGACTACTACCAGGACTAGATATAGAAATTTATAATGCAAGTCGGGTTGTCTTTCTGAAAACTAGAAAGCAAAGTTTAGCTGGTAAGATATATCCCGATTCCTGAACCAAATATTCAGCTAGTAGGGCTACTATCAGCTCAATATTGAAATTTTTAATGCACAATCTCTGCATTGAAGAACATTTATTCAGTTTCCTAGAAAGTTCATCAGTTTTGATGCTAACTTTACATCTTGAGAGATAAAAAATCGTTCGAGACACAGTCCACTCCACACACACGCAAACAAAAGGGGAAAAAATGAGATTTACTACTCTTAGCATATACATAATGGCTTATATATGTTGAGTGACAAAGAAACTCACACAGGAATGCCGTGGAAGAGAGAACAGTTCTCAAGTGTTAAGTAAATGAAACAGAAAAGAGAATAGAGAGAATTAGGAATTCTCTGTTGGTTCAAGCATAAACTGAAATGGTGCTTACAAGAGTTTATATGCAGAATCCTAGATAGATAACTGCTATTAACTTCCAGTAACAGAATAACTTCCCCTTGACTGCTAACAAGTCACTGACAATAACGGACATAACCGCCATGACCTACAAGATTAACTACCTTATTCCTTTTACACTTATCAATGGCTTACGAGATTTTTTAGCAAGTTTATACCATTTTGAGCAGTAGGACACAGAAGCATAGATAAACTATGCACAGGGCAAGTTAACACAACCAAATTAAGTCCTCAACTGATGATTCATAAAATTGATGCCGCAGATCTCAAATTTGTAAGAACAACTAAAAAGATACAAATCCTCAAGAAACCAGGATAAAAATAACATCCAGTAGTAAAAAGTAAACTTAGTAAATTAATTGTATGAATTGGAATTATCCACAAATGATGCAAAAGGGTTAAGAGAAGTAATAAAAAACATTACATGAATTCTGTGGATTACCTGCTACCAGGGTCCGTCATTTCATCATCCTCCACATCAAATGGACAAAGAAACTCAGAGTCATCAAAATCATCTTGTATAGACCTACTGGAACTTGAAATTCGTGGTGAACTGCAGGAAGATACCTTCATTCCAGAATATTTCTGACAGTCTTCTTTCCCGAAAGAGAACAGCTACAAAAGACAAAAGATAAATAAATTCCAAGTTGAAAAACAAGATGCACTATAAATGACGATGTGATAATGTGCATATGAAATACCTTCTCAATTGTTGCACCAGTTTCAGCAGGTACCCTAAAATTATCAGTCCTAGAAGTATCGGTTCTTGTAATTTTAAGGGGAGGTGATGGTGGCAAATTGTGCTTGTCAGACAATGCAGGGGAATTAACAAGCTTAGGACCTGGTATGTCAACAGGAGCACTTTCAGAGCGTAAAAGAGCTTCTGATAAATGAGACCTAGGTATGTGGATGGGGCGTGATGGTGATGGGGAAGGGGAAGCAGAGAAATTGGGGGAAGGACAATACTCATCTAAGTTCATAACCTTCTTATGAGCTAGTGATGTTTCACGAGGATGAGAAGGTAAGCTCATAGGCGGCAACCGCTGAGAGCTCTGGTTAGAAACCAATGAGTGCGACTCCGAATGTGTTGGTGATGGTGAGAAAGAAACCAAAGGTGGTGAAGCCTTGTAATGGTCATAACTCCAACTATGCCTTCTTGAGAATGGTAAAGATGTTGGAGAGCCGTGAGACATAGGAAGAGAAGGAAATCTCCTCAATGGGTCTGCCAATGGGCTCCCAACATAATTTGGTATAAATTGAGGGGACATAGGGGTTGACGACTCCGAGCTTGTATCTGAGATTGATGAATAGTACAAAACAGAAAGGCAAAGCCTTCCGCAAGAAGTGTCCACAGGGGTAAACCAAAATCGCTGCATATCAGCCTCTTCTTTATGAGCCAAGGGCTCAACAAAAGAAGATACCCTAGGAACAATCTTAAAGGCACAGATTTGACCGGATGAATTGAGATCGCGAAAAATGTTGTAAGCAGGCAAAAGCCTCACAGTCACGTATAAGGACCTCAACAACAATATCAATTTCTTATATAATGCACTCAAATTATAACAGCTAGACCTTCTATTCCCTAAATTATAATCCCTACCCTTTCTACTTTCATGCTGCACCAACCATCTTTCTATAATCTTTTCACTTCTCATCTCCCTGCCTGATTCTTCTTGATCAGAATTCCAGCAAAGCGAATTCTTATCTTTAGAAGACAAATTCACAACAAGATCCCTTTTGGGGGAAAAACTTGCAGGTCCCCAATCAAGAGGTTTTTGTTCCAATATAACATCAACAACTACCGACTCAAAATTACTCTGCCGACAAAGGTCAAGATTTTGTAGCGCTGAAGGGCACTCCCTAATAGCTAAATTGAACCATTTATCTCTTGGTCTTACACTAGATGAAGAGGATGAGGATGAAGATGGAGAGGACACAGTTTGTTCACCGCTATAATTACGTGATGACACATAAGGAGACCTCGATTCAAGAATTATAAAAAGACTCTTATAGAAGAATTCAGTGATAATTTGTTCCATTTTGGCTGCTTCAGTGTGAGAACTCGTATGAGTTGATGCCATAACTTACAAATTTGCTACAAGTGGAACAATCAAACCCTTTAAAGAGAAATTGAGATTATAAACTCGAAACACCTCGGGAGACAATCTCACTGCAGATAGAATTAGAAAAGCCATAAGGAACAATAAAAACAAAAAGCTCAAACATCGATATAAACCCAGTAAGAAATAACTCAAAAGGATCTAAATTAACCAGTGAAAATAGCAGACAGAAAGAAGAAGAAAAAAGTAGTACGAGCAGCAGCCATACAAATATTTTTATCAAATAAACGCTAACAGGAAAACTCAATTAAAAATCAAAGCAAACAACAAACAGCTTAGACTTTTGTTTTCTTATGTTCTTTATAAAATTAAATTGCCCCAGTTTGTGTAACGAACACGTTTGAGCACATATGCCATTTTTCTAGTAATTTTTGCGTTGAGTTTTTCTCGTCATCATCCATCTCAGTTTCCCCAGATTTATTTCGAAAAAAATAATTGAACAACTTTGAAAGCAAATTGAAGATTACATACCCAGAAAGCAAAAACCAAACTAAATTAATTTTAAAAAATAATAGGGCAAAGGAAGGTAAGAGAGAAGCTGAGTCACCTGTTTGGTAATGGAGTGAATTTAATGAACCATGCTTTATTTTCTGTTTAACAGGCTTATCTCCTCCTTGTTTGGTAAAAATATATTTCTCTTGGATTTGATGAATATATAAGACTATTTAGGGAAAGCAAATAAAGAAGACGCCAAAGAAGTTATCGTGTAGTTAGAAGTTGGAAGCAAGCAGGGGAGCGGATGGATGGGGGACCCTTGACCTTGCCACCTCATCATTTTCGTTTGGTGTTTTTTATTTATGTGTATGGGCCGAATTATTGGGCATCTGAGCCTTGACCAGTGCTACAGCTAAACGGGCCACCACTTGCCCAAACTATGTCGTTTAAATCACCTTGCCTTTGTAGTTGTAAGAAACAAGCAAATGGATTCTATCGTACCATATAACATCTACGTCTAAAATAAAGAATATACGATAAATTTAAAAAATTTAAAAAGATGATTAATTTTTTAATCATTTTACGAATAAAAAAACATAAATCAAACAATTTCAACGATTAGAAGATTGTTGTAATCCCTTAAAATTATAAATTCGAACATCGTGGATGTCTTAAAGCAAATACTCATTCATCAAGTGATTTTAAAATCACTTTATTATTATTATTTAAAATCAACTAATATTTTATAATTTTTCATATCCCATTAATTAGAAAAAAATATTTCTAATAAAAAAATTATTTACATATTTCCCCCTTAAATAAAACACTACAACCATCAGATGCTTTCAATGGCCAATACCAACCGGTCCACATTTGATTCACCACTTCCCATGACCCGCAAACGTACCTTCCGAACAAAAAGAACAGAGAAAAGCAATATTTTGTTTTAAACACTAATCCCACATTTGGTGCCCACTTACAACATGATATTTCAATGTAGCATGCTGCAAGATTACAATCATATGTAATAATTACATCCATATATCAATAATCGAGTTGATAATTAAAGCATTAAACCCACCACCAAAATATATCTGTACAATCTTATTAAAAATATTAAAATTATACCCGATAAAATTTGAGTCCAGATCATAAATTGTGATTATTTCTAGAAAATATTTTCAGATAGCAATTAGTGTTTGTTTGAAAAAATGTGATAAATTAGAAATTTTGAACCGGATTTTATATGGATAAAGGTGAAGATTCGAATGGTAAATTTATTGATTCATATTTTATTTTATTGGACTTTTACAACGATATCTCATATGTCAAAAACGGTTGAATGGTGAATGAGAAATTGGTAGTCAAAGTAGTATATATTTTGAATGTTTCGAATTAAAAGGATATTTTATGATTTCTTTAAATTAAGATATTAATAGGATAATGTTATATTATTAATGAATTTATATTTGATTAAAATATAGTATTATAGTTCCGGGATTGTTATACCTTAATTTTAAAATATATTAGTCATGAATTTATATTCGAATAAAATATGATATTATAGTTTCAGAAAAACTACTATACCTTATTTTAAAATATATTATTAATGAATTTATTTCGCCATTATAGTTCCGATAGGATTATTATACCTTAATTTCAATCATATATTATTTTTAATTATCTTCCTACGAGAAAATCCTATAAATATTGTGTAAACCTTCAAGGTTAGTTTTTGTGATAGATGATCATCTAATTTTTACACTTTGAAAGATAGATGATTGACGATTTCAAGTACCAAGTAATAATCGAAAATCTATCTTAACATAAATATTTGTTTCTATATTATTCTCTTTTAATTATTTAATTTAATTTTTTTTATTATCTTGGATTATTATACTTATAACACCAAGAGGAAATGGATTCAAAGATCTCACAATAGTTATTTTATCTTATTTTATTTCTTCTTTCCTCTATGCGGGAAAGCTGGAAACAGTTAACGGACCTGATTTTGACAGAAAAATAATTACACTAAAACAACATATGGATTCTCGAAAGCAACACCAGATCTTATCTAACATGCCACCCAGTTGGTTGTAGATATCTGATTAGTCACCCAAAATATTATATTATCAAGTGCAAATTATGTGTACTAGTGTGATGGTCAATATGAACTTAGTTAGCCAGTGGGAAAAAGCAACTTCCACTTGGATATACAGGAATATCACCATTGGCTTATATCTCTACCAGCTTACAAGTTGCTCGAAATAACTATGTAATCATACCTGCAAATTGTGGATTTAACTGTTGTTTCAGGCAGCTGATTTGCTCTCTGGGGACCAACTCCACTACTGTCCCTGTCGTCGTTACATCATTAAAGATTCAGTTTGATCTCGGACAACTTCTGATATCGAAAAGAAAATATCATCCGTTAATGTCCTTTCCAGCACGACTGGTTAGTGACTGAGCTTTCATTGAAGGCAAAAACGGATAAAAAGTTGTCACTTTTCTAATATAGAACAGGGAAAAGCTTAATGGGATAAAAAATTGTTTAACTTTTCCATGTGTATATAATCTTTCATTGGAACCAACTCTTGGAACCACAATCTCAAACATGTCTACTTCTTCAACACCTACACAATTATCCCAACACTTGTTTGAATCCTTCCATCCGAGAAAATTTCTGCAACATTCGTCTCTTTATTTACCCGAATCCCCGGTGATTTCCCCGGCTCAAGCTAACGATCATGGCCTCTTTCAAACCAACTTCGATGCGAATGTAATTTTTGTTCTCTCAGTCCTTATGTTCAGTGTGTTCACGACTTTGGGGTTGTTTTTCATCATGAAGTGTGTAATTCGATGCTCGAGTTCTATTACTGCAACTGCAAACGCATCGGCCAAGTTGGGGACAGCAGGAGTTGAGAAGAAAGCTTTAAAAGCCTTCCCGACGATGAAATATACATCCGAGTTGAAACTGCCGGGCTTGGACTCGGCTTGTGTTATATGCTTGTCCGAGTTTGTTGCGGGGGAACGTGTGCGGATTTTGCCGCAGTGCAACCACGGATTTCATATTCGATGCATCGATAAATGGCTTAGTTCGCACTCTTCGTGTCCTACGTGCAGACACTGCCTGACTGCAACGGACCAAAAGACTGGTGTTGACTGCAACAGGACAGAGTCATTGGTACAGTCTGGTCCGGTGCAAGAAATTGTATAGCAGCAAAGAGGTAGAAAAATTGGGAATCTTATAAGGCATAATTAGAGGGATTTAAAAGGCAAGCTTCAGTGTAATTGTTCTTAGACGAGGATATGTAAACAATCGAATTTCTGTGTATTGTCTGGAGACTGAAATTCAATACCAATTTTTACAATAATTACTACTTCAATTGACTTCAAAACCCTGGATCATGGGAAACTTTCTACTTTCAGAATCCTCTTAACATTCTCATAAACTGTGGGTGATAATTATTGACGACCATTTACTCTAATTCTTGTACTGAAATGTAAATCATACATGAATAATAACTAATGCTCCGACCATTAGAGTTAAAAATAAATGAATAATAGCTGCAGTATTAGAAGATAGATTGAGACCAACCTTTATAACCTTTGATTATACCAATTTGGCAATTGAAAAATACCCCGTGTTCCTTTCAAATTATATAACCTTTAGGTAGCTAATAAAAATACTATATTATAAAATGTAAGTATCTTAGTTGGATTGATAATGTGAACCTAGTTATCCACTTCAAATTATAAAACTGTTGTTCACTACAGCAAGACAAAGTCAGTTGATCTAACAGTCTGTTCCAATGCATTAAAGTGTATAGTAGCAAGGAAGTAGAAAGTTGTGGCTGTTTGAAGGCATAATTAGATGAATTAAGTAGGCAATCTTTAGTATAACTGTACTGTTCTTAGGCAGGATATTTCAACAATTTAAATTCTTTGTCTGTTCTCTGATAACTGAAATTCATTAGCTAGGTTTAGGATTTTTTATAGTATGAGGTGATTAGAATATAGTATTTGTGATTTTTTTTCTTAATCTATTGATAACATACACAAATTCTATAGGCACCACTACTCAAATCTAAATATTTTAAAAATAATAATATTTCATTTTATTACTAAGATCACTCAAAAATTTTATACCTGTCACAAAGTTTGATGAACATGTTACCAAAGCCTTCAAGGAATGGTGTGTTTTCTATATAAGCTGCATTCATGGGCCATAGAAGGGTTTAAGGAAAGACATTCTCTAGAACATGGGCCTTCTTTTCTTTCAGTATGTGCATCCCATCTCTCTAGGTATAGGCTTTGGGTCAACAACTGAACTCACCATAGGGGAAAGTCATGTAAATTCATAATCCCCAGATACACTCTACATCAAATCAAATGACAAAAATAAAATTCAGTCAGTGATGGTGTAGCAAGTGGTCCCCTAAATACAAATTTTGGGGCAGCCTTGGAAACCCATAATTTTGGATAACGAGATCATGTGTGCATTGTAATATAAAGTTGAATGGAACTATCACACCCCAAATTTAATTTACAATAATAATAATAATAATAATAATAATAAATAATTTTATTAAAGTAGGGATCAAATTGAAAGTTTTTGGAACTTGTAGCTCATTTCAAAAAGTTATAGGAAGTTTAGGGACTTAACCTCAAATTTTTTTCATTTTACGTCGACAAAGAAAAAAAAAGGAAAGAAGTTGTGGCTGAGGGGTTTCAAACCCTTGTTCAGTGGTATAGTCGCCTAAGCCATAGCTATTTAAGCTAGGGTACTATTTGGGATATTTTTATTAAATATATATGTTAATGTTTAAGTTCGGGATAGTACCCCGAAATCCCCAAATTGAACCCTCAAATCCCTAAATATCTCAAGCCTCCACCGCCACCTGCCCACTGTCATTCATCGGTCTCTGGCCAGTGGTGGCTTACACCACCCATAGCAACAGCTCTGTCATCGTCGTGCGACCTCAACCCCAACTGTTGTTTCCCCAAGAAGCCAACGGTTTGTCGTAGATCAAACAAAAAATCGTTCGACTCCTCCTCCGCCTGTTTCCACATCTGTCAGCCCTGTTCATCACTGCTCTACCCACTGGAAGTGCCTTGGCCGTCCGATCAAAACCTTGTTGGCCGATTGATGTGAGATGACGTTGTTTGCCGTGGAAGGCGCCGGGAAGTTACTCCGAAAAAACCCAAAACCATCGTCGTTGGTTCCCTCGCATTCGATCGATCCGGGAGTCTACTTCTTTCACCTCCGCCACCTCCGAGCTCCTCGAGAATTTGCGACCAAACAGTCGTTTTGGAGTGTTGTCACCACCGTCAATCGTGCTGCTATCATTGTCGATGATTTTGTTCGCCGCATCCCGTTAGTAAGAGGGTTTGGGAACCCTATTTTCAAAGATAGTATGGATAAGGGTTTGGGCCAAAGGGTTGGTGTGACCTAAACCCATTACCCAATATGATGGGTCTGATCTGGAAAATCTGTGCCAGCAGACCCAAACTGGGTTGACTCGAAATCTATTGACCAGTTTGACTGTTGACTTTTGGGTTGACTTTGATCAAAAAGTAATTTTTTTCGAAAAATAATATTTTATGTTTTTCGATATCTTGAGTTCATTTTTTAGGTCTGTTTCGCCAAATTTAATCCCAGTAAGTTGTTTTTGGCATTTTTCTCCCGATTCAATACGAGTTTTCAAGTTTAAGTTCTGTTTCTAATGTAACTGGTTTTGCCTTGTATCCGATATATTATAGGACGTGGAATTAAAGTTCGAGGGCGATCAAATAGAGTTTAATTGATTCATCGATGTAGCTAAAAAATCGAGATAATACAATACTACCTTATGTATGCTTTATGGAACATGTTGGTATCGGTTAAATGTGTGTAGTTAATATTTCTAAACTCGATCCAAAGGCAATGTAAAGTAATTAAACTGAATAAGACTCAGATTATAAATACAAGATATTAGAATAATGATAAGAAATAATTTCAGGTTCAGTGATTAACTAATAAAGCAATCAACCTCAAAATCTTTAAATTCTAATTATTCTCGTTAAAAGTTTTAATACCGAATCACCTGGTTAAGAAATTACGAATTACTCCTATGAGGTAAAAATGGTTTGGACTGACCCTGATAGTGAAAGTACAATTAGAATTTATATTTAATACGATAAACTACTAATGCAACTGTTAAATTCCTAATTTGTTCGGAAAGTCATTGGTAATTAGATCTTAACATCCGAGAAAGTACAAAACCTAGAATTATTGATTTATCATCAAACAACTAAAGGCTAAAACATCGAAAGTACTATTTATGTTTGAATTGTTCAAAAAAATTGAACTAAATGGAAATACCGGATTGAAAGAATGACCAAAATGCCCCTAAAGTGTAAAATGGCCCAAAGTACCTCCAAGCCCTTGAATGACTGAATACACTCAAGCTCCGATATGAATAAATCACCCTCGAATATCAAAATGACCTAGAATTTCTACTTCCTGAGCGAACACCCAAATGCTAAATTACCGAAAGTACTTTACACGTCTGAATTACTCGAAATGACTATATTATATGACAAAGTTGAACTGAATGGAAGTACTGTACGTATCAAAATCGTTGAAAAGACCAGATTACTCTGAAAACTCTGAAATGATCATGATAAACTTTAATACTAAATGACCTAAGTACCCTCTATGACCTAGAATTAAATGGATGACTTTTATAAGTTTGGAAACATTGATGAACTTATATGTTGTACCGTCCATAAGGGTTAGGAACCCTTAATCAAACACTTATAAATTTCTTGATACCATTGCAATACATAAATGAAATAAATACCATTTGACTACTTGTTCGTCTCCCTAAGATCCATTCAGCGATGATTCTGGAGGTGATCAATTCAACTAGAGTAATCGGTATTAAGAAGTGAATAATGGTGAAGTACATCGGTCTGAATGATTGGCAAGTATCGCAGTGTTGGAATTGGATAGTTTAATTTGACTCGAAATCATAATAATTCGATTTAAATCCTAAATGATACAAATTTTTGGTTCACTCTCATTAGGTTAAGTTACTAAGAATTCTTCAATAAACCAAAATGTCTAAAATGTCTCTGATTTCCTGAATAATGGAATCACTCCTGTCATATCTGAAATCTCAAGTAACTCTGATGTAAAAGATTCTGAATACCTTCATGATTACTTAGTGCCTCCGAAAAATATATGAATATTATATGATCTTGATAAATCACTTCCCGAATGACTGATGAATCTGTTACCTATCAAACCCTTTTTTATAAGGATCTTATTTCTGAATTCCTATCAATTTACAAAAGTTTTATGGTTCCCTACTTGATAAATACCAAGTACCTCCAGAGAATAATTGGATCCACTAGTGTGTTCCCTATGTGCTATATGATTTTTTTATTTGTCATGAAATGTGATTTACTAAAGTTACTATTTTACTGAATCTTTTAACTATTCAATATTCTGATTTATTGGTGTATTGATTTACTGTTTATGAACTATGGCTACTGATATGTGCTCTCTGGTTATATGTTTTCACGAAAAAATACAATCGTTTCTGATTTATGGATCATGGAATCTTCTGGTTACTACTTGAACTGTTTTATTGGGACACTATCTAGGTAGGATTCTGGAGTATGGAGGTTCAGCTCTGATCAAGCTGGTAATTCCTTATGGACCTAATGTATTCCTTGGGTAGTCTCTAAGGCCCCAAGGCGCTCCCTTAGTATGGGGGTTGTATTTTGGTGTACGGATTGAGGGTATTCATGTGATTTAAATAACTGCATTGTCATTTTTACAACATTCTACTAGATCATGGTTTTGATATTAAAGTTACTGCTCAATCTGATTTCTACTGGATACTATATGGGTAGGAGTTTGGAGTACGAAGGTTCAGCTCTGATCAAGCTGGTAAATCCTTACGGACCTAAGGAGACCCTTGGGTAGGCCCATAGGCCCTAAGGTACTCCCTTAGGGTGGCTCATTTGTTGTGTGCTTAGGGTAAGTCCTTATGGATGCAGTTATGGGGAAACTGTATATCGGTGTTTGGTTGGAGGGTATTATAGTGGTTTTAAAATATGTTTTAAACTACTAATGTTTTTAAAGGATTTGTACACATTTCTCTGTTTTGTTGGAACACACTAGACTCCTCAATCTAATATTCTGGATCTGTCTCTCTGAATACTTCCTTCACCGTAAATTCAATTTTGCAACTGAAGACTTAGCTAATGGAATCTGAATTCACTGCTAG